TGCGGTCGGCAAAGTTCTGTCTTAAGCTGCAGCACAGTCAAACCTTCAGTAAAATATATTAGCAAGGTGTTGAGGGAACAGAGCAGATTATAGGTCATTGTCTCAAGGTATCATCTGGCCTAGTGCACTAGCACAGCTTGGGACACTGACAAAGAAATAGCCCCAATACATCACTGATGCCTTAAGTATATATGACTGCTATTCATTTCAGCTTTCCTTGGCTTATTCTCCCTGTACTCTTGCCAATTTCTGATCACTGTTTCTGTTTCTATAAATCACTGGGATGCCAGGAAACATTACAAAAATCCTAGAGAAGTGAAATGGCATTTTTCATTTTGTCCTCCACTCTCCCCTCTTTCCCCACAAATCCCATAGTTATGCCTGTATAAAGGATTTCTCAGACCTTTTTATTTAATCTTTGAAGGTCTGTGACAGCACCACCAGCCTAATCCTTCAAGATAGTGGTTAGCAAAATTTAGAGACCAGTTCTTTCACCAAAAGTTGGTGTAGCAAGCACTATTGCCCAGCTCAGCACTGTTTAACTACTGCGGACAAGAACAGAAGGATGTTTAAACCCACATTGTTCTTATACTACCTATATTGACCTCTGTCAGTGATGGAGTTCCTCATGACAATTTTTTTTACAGTGAATTTTATGCTTTTCTTGATTGTCCATCAGTGACTTGCAATCACATTAAAACCACCATATCTGCTCACAAAATCTTATCACTGATTTTGTCTGTTCTTGTTTTGCTCTCCCACATTTCTTTTCTTTAAAATGTTTTCCCCCTCCCCCAGAAAGTCTCCTACATGAGTTCAGCAGATGAAAGCTCATGGGATCAACTGCACTAAATTTTTCATGAGGTTTCTCAGCCCTTTGACTCTTCATGCTGTTAACAATTAAAGCACTAATTTGCAGGCCAAACAGAGAGTCTTCCCTGGCCTCTCCTCATAGAAGTGAGTCTACGACACCTTCATTTTCCTCCATGTATATGTATATTTTGAAGTCAGAGATAACTCAGGATCTCATTTAGGTCCTCCCATCAGTGTTCTCACCTGATACCTCTAATCTGAACATAATTCTGCTGCTAACCCGTGCTATTGGAGGCTGCCTGAAGTTTTAGGCAGAAGCCCAGGACATAGCTTTCAGTCATACTGACAACCTGACCACTGTGCCATGTGACTGGAAGAAAAATAATAGAGGTACTGGTAGCTCTCAAATGTCTCCCATATTTGCCTCTGTGGCACAAGCATGTTTGGTCTCTGCCTTCTCCGGTTCAGCACTGAAATCATTCAAGGTTTATCTATGCTAATCAAGCATACTTCTACCTTAATCCCATTTTTCACCCCCCCCGAAATTACACAGTTTTTGCCCAGGTGGCCTGGCCATGGAACCTGTCCCACAGGTTTGTGTGGGGACACAGGCCAATCTGGGAGCTCCCTTGGTACTGGGTAAGACATATCCTTACAGGCTGAGACAGAAAGGGCTCCTTTTCTCAACTACATGGCTCTATGCACCATTAGATCCTGGGATATGCAGTGCAGAGCTCTGGAGTTCCTTCTCTTTGTCTGAAAGAAACCTTGGATCAGATGTGTGGGAGGAATGTAAATTTTAGTGATGTTCCTTTAGTTAGAACTGTGTCTGCTAAGTGGCAAGTCACCAGCTGCAGCATGTTATCACTTTTCCAGCTTCATTCACAGACCAGCCTGACCACACGGTCTGCAATGTTGGATTTGGAGCAGGGAAGAAGTCACAGTACAGATCCACAGGTGTGAGAAAACACTGCTGAGTGTGTGGTAGAAGCTGGTGTATGAGGTCTGATTTGAGAGACTTGCTGCCACATTTTTAAGGCCAGCCCTGCAGTACACAGGTATCCTATGAGTATGGAAGTCCTATAGAGAGAAAACCATATAGAAGGTACTGGAAAACCGTGACACTAAAGCAATTCATTCTGCCATCATTATTGCAAAGAAAGTAGGTGCTTGAATCCATCAATTCTAGATTCCTCTTAACGTGTATGTCACTACACTCTGACTCAGGAGGACAGGGCTGCAGGCTCCACTAGGTCTAGCCTAGGTCAGGGTCCCTGCCACCCTCCCAGCAGCACCAGCAGCAGGAATTGTGCTCACACTGCCCTGCCACAGGCTCACAGTCTGGCAGCTGAGCAAGAGCCCATCAGCACTGCTTTGTATCCACTGGGCTGTGTGTCTGTGTGCACAGGATCTTTTCTGTCATCTCTTTCTACAGCGTAATTTGGCTTCAAAAATTCCAGCAGAATCTGGGAACTTAGCAGCGATCCATTTCCTTGATTTATGATAAGGCAAGATCTTAAATCCTTCTTAATTTTACTGCCACTAATGCAGCCTTCACATTGTGTTTAACAAATAAACTAATGTGTGTACATAAAGAATAAAGTTATTTTCTGCTAAATAAGTAGATTTTAGTTTCCAAGTTAATGGGTAAATGTAAACAGCAGCTGCCTAGATATCATCCTTTACAGCATGAATAGAACCATCAGCGTATTGAAACTAGAGGGACAAAGAATATTTGCTTCAACTGCCTTGTTGTTCTCTTCAGAAAAAAAATCCTTTTGAAGTATGCAGCTACAAAGCAGCTATTTAACAACAACAACAACAAAAAGGTGTCATTTTCTACAGCTTTAGGAAAAGGGGGAGAAAAGTAACAGCTACAATAATAGGATGTGATATATTATAAATTTCAGGAAGAATCAATCCCTCAAAGGAGGAGAAAACGAATGTATATAAAAGGTCTCCATTCCACAGAAAAAGGAAAGATGCCTTTGGAAATACCTAAACTGTTATTTTTTCTTTAAAAAAATCTTTTCTGTGTTTTGTGTTTTATCTGTTTTGAAGAGATACTTTCATTGTTTACAATATTCCAACCTTCACCAAAATGCCATCATTTACATTTGCAGAACCCACACTCACTCACAGCCAAAGTCAGTTCCATGGGTACAAACTCAAATCATCCCCCTCTACATGGCCCTTATAGAGCCACCTTCTGATAAGTCCTTGTTCCCTTCAGATAAAGGCAAAATGTACATCTTCTAGGTTACTGTAGGAAAAACTAAATGCTACTTTTTTTTTTCTTTGTCCATATCCCTTTCTATTTGTCAACAACTGTATGCAGGTAAAATAACTGCACAAGATTTCTCCTTACTAAGCACCAAAAACTCCAGCACTGTTCTGTAGATAATCAATTCTGAAGTTATATAAAACTAAGTTCAGCCTCTGTAATAGTAGATTTGCACAGCTGTAAATCAGAGAACAACCAGCTCTAAGATTTTCACAGTTCTGAGGTTTTGCCTGGTTCAAGCTATTGATTTTGTCCTTGGTACTATAATTATTGGTAAGAAGAGCAAATACTTTGAAAACATGTCAGCAATCATATAATACAGAAATGGAAAAGACTGTTTTCCAACAGCAGCCCTTTTCCTGAGCAGTACTTTTCAGGGCAATTTCAAAGGACTTTCTTATTAGATACCCATATCACTTGTATTAATATACTCTTGTTTTATATGTCCATAGTACTCCTGTGACAAACAGATGTGTCTTCCATGAAGTCACCATTCACACCACTTTTGTAAATTTAGCATGTCTGTATCTGTGGTTGAAACTGTTTTAAAATTCAATTTGACCTCTGAGGGATTATGAACTCACATATTCAGACATTTATCTCATGTTGTGGCTGAAATGTATCTATGTCATTTTTAGGTATCTCCTCTGTATGAAAAAGTATATTGTGGAATACATTTAATACACCCCTGATATTCAGAGTGATTATATTTCTTAGTATGCAGAAACATTTCTCATTTACTTTAACAACTAAAAACCCCTCGAAAATAAGTTGTATTTATCCCTAATTCAGACACTACTGCATTAGCTATGGATGACAGATCAGGATATGTAAATTTATTAGATATGTTAATAACTCATACCTTGGCTGATGGAAAATTTGGAGTATTACAATGTAGATGAGGCTTGCCCAAAACACTTAGAGGAAAGGATAAAGAAACTCATCCTCAACATGCTGTTTGCCCTCATTATAATTGTTAAAATAATAGCATTATAATCTGAAACATTTTCTCTCTGAAAGGAAAAAATTGTAATTAACTTACATGAAGTAAAATCTCATTAAATTAATTAAATGAAAAGAAAAATTAATTTGAAGGGAAAAACAAATGAGGAACAAACTTTATTAAATACAGTAGAACTATTAATATTCATTTCAGTGAAATGAATATAATTAGAAATAGTTAGCAAGCAAGAAGGTAGAAATCTGCTCTCTCTGCACAATGGAGGAACTGTTCCATGATACTCTCTGTAAAATATGGCTTCACACATTTCATTGCAAATAGCCTTCTGATACAGAGTGTATTATAGGTTTTAGTTTCAAAATAGACTGCTAGTAGTTCTTCAAGTAGGAGATTTAAATTCCAGTATGAGTTCTATCTCAAGAAAATGGTTCCACGCTAGATTAAAATAAAATATGAACAGCTATTATTAATGGACCTCCATAAAGTGCTCTGCTTTATAGACTACTCTGTGCTAGCCAGTCCCCAGTGTAAATGTTTTCTAATTTAAGTAAGGCAGGAGCAAGCAGAAACGGAGTTCTGTCCTCAATCTTCACTCCCAAACCGAACACCTCCAGAATGAAGCTGTATGAACTGATTCAGACACCTCTGCTACCATAACTACAGGGATCAGAAACTCAGCCATCATGGAAAACCAAAGTACAATACAAGCCACAGGTCTATGGTTCCACCTAACGACAACATCACATGACTTATTTTGCCTGAGAGAGCACATTGAAGTGAGGGCAGTTCACCCCCCAGGCTGTGCCTGCAGATGGACAGTTTGAACACACCCAGTCCCGCAAGGAGTGGGAGGTCGGGGCTTCACAGTGCCACTGCTCCCACTGTAGCCTCTTCCCCTCCGTGGAAGCAGCTCTAACAAGCTGCCCTTCAGCACGAAGCACGTGTGTCACACCCCAGTGTCTCTGAAGCACGTGTGTCACAGCCCAGTGTCTCTGAAGCACGTGTGTCACAGCCCAGTGTCTCTGAAGCACGTGTGTCACAGCCCAGTGTCTCTGAAGCACGTGTGTCACAGCCCAGTGTCTCTGAAGCACGTGTGTCACACCCCAGTGTCTATGAAGCACGTGTCACACCCCAGTGTCCGCGGCACTGAGTGAAGAGCTCCGCTCATGCTGCTGTGTGGACAAACTGGAGTTTGAATATACTTGTGAGTCATGTTTGCTATCCACTAGTTTGTATCTCCTTTCCTTTTTGGTCTATTAAGGTGAGCTATAGAAAGCAGAATCATGGGAAGAAAGGAAGGAAAGGAGAAACTGAAAGCTCCATTCTCTTGTTTCTAAGATTGAGGACAGCTTCTGCACTCATCTGAGCACTACACTAAGCTTCATGGTTACAAAATATATTATTTAGGTATAGGCAGAAAAATTTTAAGTATCTAGATTGAGAAATTGCTCTTATATAGCATGGTAGTCAACAGTATATTCCAGTATATTTTATCCCAGAACTTCAAACATACTTACAACTGACTCTTTTTCTTCGTTTCTGTCTTCTGAATAACTTCCTTGACTTTAAAAAGGTTACTTGAGAAAGAAGCAAGCAATATCGGATTATCTATTTAACAGATTTTACTAGTGTTGATATTATACTTTTAAATCAACAGGTTTTATTCTTCTATTTATGTTTTAAAGAGATATGTAAGCAATAATACTGCAAAAATATTTAAACACACATAGTAAATAAAATAGCAACATCTCCTTCTCTGTGATCTTTTTTAAGAATAAACTTGAAATATTTCCCCAGAAGTTTGTGATGCAGGAAAAACACCTCTTATAAGAATGTTGGTTTTTCAGGTGGATTGAGGTAACACGACAAATTCCAGTAAATCTAAGATTTTACAAGAATTCTCTGAGTCAAATAACCTTAAGTTCCAGCAGCATCTTATAATGTGTGAGTGCACTATCCATCAAAACCACTCTGCATATCTGGAGATGCTGATATTGTCAAATTGGGCTGACAAGAAAATCAGAGTTCTGTGGAGCTTACCTTTGCTGGGCACTGAGGAGCATCCTGCCCCTGCACTCCTAGGGGAGTGAGCACAGGGTGAGAGAAACAGCTCAATACAAGTGGGAGGTTGAAACACAGATGCTCTGCTGCTGCTGCTGACACATATCTGGAAGAGATAAGCCTTGAATCAGGTTCATGTTGTTGTCAGGTATAATGATAGGAGAATAACTCTACAGATTAGAAAAGAGAGAGGATCTACTTGAGAAAGAAAAAAAGGTATTTCACCACACGGAAGTATTGCAGCAAAAGGACAGAAAAGACAGATTTATACATCATGCTTCAAGAAGGGTGTTATTTATCCAGACCCCAAGCTTGCCTGTAGGGAAGCTGGATTGTGCTTATATGCAGAAACCTCTGGTTTAGCACAAATGACATTCTGCAATGTACTCCCATTTTCAGATAATGATAAAAATGGGAATGTCAGAAATATGAGGAAAGGTTTGTGTGCTAAGAAGCTTGAACTGACCTAATGAAGAGTTCACGAGACTGACATAGGCAATAAATCTGCTGTTAGAATGGCACAAATAATGGAACAGGCAGTTCAACAATTATACTACACTATGAGTTTTCTTTGGGCAGTGCATAAAAAAGAAACACTTGGACTGACTTCTGTCACTGGAATAGAATATAGGAAAGGGAAATATTTTGATGACTGTAGAGTCAGCTTGTAGCACCTCTAAAAGAAGGAGCTTTCAATTGCATCTAGGTAGAAGCTGAAGCTGAGTCTCTAAAATATTAGTGGAAACACATTTGATGAGCAGTGAAATGTGGCAGTGATGCATTCATCTGGATAGTTGTTTTCACTGAAGCACTATCACAGCAGGACAGAAGATGGTGCAATATTTTCCTGCCAAATCTGAACAAGGAATAACTTCAATACTTGTGAACGAGCCTGGATTTTTGTCATCTGTTTTACTTCTGTCACTTGTACAGTCGTTTCTGCTTGTCTTTGCTGATATTTATAGCCCTGTGCACTGTTCCAAATCCCCGCTGCTTTTTGACTGCTCTGGCCAAATTTGTTCAAATTCTCTTTGCAACAGGAGGATTCCTAGGTTTAATAGGCTTTTAATGACTATTAGTTGCTTTGCTCAGGGACTCCCCGAGGGTCATGTTCCACAGTGGAGAAGTGCATGCTTTGAAAAATGGAGCACAAAACGTAAACAAGGAGAGAGCGAGAATGTAAAATTTGGAATTCCTGCACATTCGTTTTTTCAACAGAAAAGCAAAAAAAAATTATGTGTGAGAGATACCTTAGGAGTTTGCATGTTTGAGTTTTTTTAAAAAATTATTCACCATCCTTGCTTTTATGCGGGCTACACTGCACCCGGTGTAAATAAGCTTATTATCTTTGCTTTAGCATTTTAAGATTATAGGATAATCTAGAAGATGCAGCAAGAAAATACTTTCATATGTTCCATCTCTTACCTAAGAAGGATCTTGCCAGACATTTATTGATTTGTGCTTCAGTTTTATGCTCACTAATCTGTCCTGCTACCTATAATTGAAAACATCTTATGTCCCTTTTCCATATCCCCATCCCATTATATGAGAATATGTGTGTGCATCATTTAAATTTGTAAATGGTTTATGTACTTATGCCTGAAGACATTCTAGGATGTTGCTCATATAAACAATTTGAAAGCAATTCACAAGTGATGATATTAGCACACACAGAGGTATATGTTTCAATGGGAATGCAGGCAAGCAAAGAGACATAGATACATATATCACAGACAAAATCAAGAAATTAAACATTATCTTATCTTAAAAAAAAAAACAGCTACAAAGGCTGCTATGCTACTGGGAGGAGAAGGAAGGGCTGCCCTGACTCAGGTAAACTCTCTGGGGTGTAATGTATATAATACTTGCAAAGTAGTATTATGGAACCACAGATGAGAAAATTAGGAAATGGTATTGATTGCAGTTGTCATGTCTTCTCTAAACCATTTGGATATTCTCAGCAGCATTCCCAAGGTGTATGCTAAATTAAATATATAGAAGCACATTACAAAATCCACATGATGGTGCTTCAACAGACTTATTGGCAATTAAGTTAGAGATGCACTTGTTTTTCACGGAATCTACAGCTTTAGCTCCAGAAAACAGTGACTATCTTGCAAACCGGACTGAAGGACATTATGGGGTCACGTTTTAATGTCTGAATCTAATTTTCAGGGGAAAAATACCCTTCTACACATTTTGCAGCACCCTAGTATTTTCTCCACAGTGTCCTTTGCATTCATGTGAGATGACGTGTGTTGCTGTAATGAGATGAAGTGTGTTGCTGTAAGAGCTCCCTCCATTCCCATGGTAGTTCAGCAGCCTACACACACAAATGGCAGAAGGAAACCAGTGCCTGTCAGTTTGTAGCCTAGAAAAATCTGACTGAGATTTCATTTGCTATCACCAAAAGAATTTTTAGCCTAAAGATGACAGCTGTCTCTGGCATGAAGAAACAGCCCTCTCTCTTCAAATACGGGCAGCTGAGGCTTATCCAGGAAATGTCAGAAGGAGTGACATGTTCAGTGCCAAGTGCCCTGAAAAGGACATGATTTAACCAACTTAACCCATTCTAAATACAGAGTTTGAAGAAAGATCTTTTCACTTTCCAAGTTCTTGAAAGCAAAACTAAGCCACGGGTTTTTAAATCTATTTGACCTTTGCATCTGTGTAACAGATTCGTTACGTTTTCCCTTATCGTTAACATGAGGGAAACATATACTAATCTTCCCATTGCCTCTTTTCCTCAAGGAAAAGTCTCCACTTACTCATTAATTTGATACAGAAATGAATTTCCTGTGCCAAGAAATTATTCTTGCTAGCATACTATATAAATTTCTCCGCAATCACAAGGCTGTAAAGCCAACCAACTAGAGAAAAATCATTTTGCATCATCAAATATTGATTAAGCTAATGAAAATTTTGACAAACAGCTATATGATGGCATGAGATTAACTGCCTTATGTGGTTTTGCTAGATATTTTTCCTTTGTAATTAAAAGTGAGTTTATATGTCACAGAAAATTATAAGAAGAAATGAAGTGGAATTAAATTAATTTTATATTAGACTCGAAAATGCAAATGATACCCTTTTGATATAAATTATAGTCTTTTTCCAGGACCATCTTTGGTACTTCAGAAGCAAAATGAAGTTACAATTTTACAGGCAATTTTAATAGACCAACTATTAGTATTAAGATAGTATCTGTAGCACTAGACAAAAACTGAGTCTCTTCTGTGCTTCAGAAATTCTTTCTTATATTCTATATATGTGCTCAGATTAAGAGGATTTTAGAAACATCCAAAACAAACAGACACAAAACTGCACTGGCAGTGTTAATAAGAAAAATACTGTGATAATTAGAATGGTTCTCATACTAAATTTCTTTTTCCCTTTTTCTCAAAAGTTACCACTCTTGCAAGAAACTACAAGGAGTTCTATACTGATCAAAAAGATGAATTTGCAGTGTAAAATTCCAGCAATAAAAATGATTATGTCCCCCCAGTTAGTAGGCAATTATCTTCCATGTGTTTTTGCAAATTGAGGGGCTTAGCACTAAGGGAAAGTGGAGAAATGTACTTTTGCATGATCTAGTTTCAGGCATAATCCCATGGGAAGTCATGGCCTCCTATAACATTTTCTAATACTTGTTTTGCAACATATGGTTTGTGAGCATTCAGAAGAAAACAGTATGACCTCCAAATAAATGCCATTTTTAAGAAGGACCATGTGTGCAATTAGAAGATTCTCAGAAGAGTTAAGAGGGGTTTAAAAGCTACTCCAGTACCTTTGGGCTGGAATCCCTAGCACAGATTGAACCAGAAGATAATCTTGATTAACAGTACCTTGGAGGCAGGGAGAGAGAGAAAGCACTGGTGATGCTCAGCAGCACTGCTGCAAGGCCTGCTGGCCAAAGCCCAACAAGAGAGCAAGCTACACTCAATTCTTAGGTGTGACAAATATTTCTCCCTAAGACACTCTTTTGGGATTATGTATAAAGATTTCAGTTCTTGCTGCCCTCAATAAGGCTCTTTGTGCCATTGGCAGAATATTCTGGGAACTGCATGGCCTATAAAAGGCTCCGTCACAACTACTGGAGTTCAAGAAACTTCTGGTGCATGTGCAGCACCCTCCATCATTGCCTCCTCCAAAGGTCAGTAAGATTACTTGGATTATTGGATGACTAAAGAGAGGGAAGGAGAACGAACATTTACAGTCATTCTCAATACAAGTAGAATGGTACCATCTAGAGAACATAAATCACTTTATAACTTATTATAATCCAATATAAAATTAATTTTATTCAGTCAGAAAATAGTCCAAATATTGGACTTAAAAGTCTCTTCTTTGCTGTAAGGTTCAAATACCTCCTAGGAGTGCTTACCACCTATGAATAACTTTTTTATTTTTCATCTTATTTCCAAATGGAGATAAAAAAATCTGGACTCAGTCCAGAGCTGAATTTCACTGTTTTACATTATATCTCAGCCTCCTCCCATGGATAGCTCCTCCAGGAAAGTATTATCCTCAGCCCAGGCCATGTGGTGCTGTTTTCTGGGTACTGTCCCCCTTCCTCTCATGTAACTCATCTAGGAGAGTGAATTTACAGCCCATGTGAACAACTCTGCAAACTATTTATCCTGAGACTGGTTTCAGCATGCCTGAAGGATAACCTGTAACTAACATCTTTCCAGTTGAAAGAACACTTTGGTCTCCATTTCTATTTACTTTTTTACCCTGTGCAGTAAATCTGCCATAGGAATAGAAATTACTCTTATACCAGATAATTTCTGTGATGGCTATTTGCCCACTGAAACTAGACTTATTTGCTTATTTACAAAGTGTTTCAGAGGTATCAGAATTCTGAACAAACCCAGTCAACACTGACTTGCGCTGGCAGTGAAGCAGTGGCCAAACATGACAGCTCCATATTCGCTGCAGTGAAAGAATTTTTGAGTATCATTATATCACTCTTTCTGAATGTCTTCATGTATCTCAGTGAATCTAAGAAAAATGACATTCAAGCTTTCAAAAAGGCTTATTTTATTCTGAAACAGACTCTGTGAACACATCACTGAAGATACACGTTTCTTCTGGTTCCCTGATTCAGTTATCAAATTTACTCAAGTGAGAGCTGAAATAAATGCTTTTGCCTTTTCATCTAAATGCCAGTCAGGAGACAGCAGATTGTACTCACAATCTGAATTATTTGTGAGTGCAATTTTGTGAAGATTGCTGTTGTATGGGCAGCTATAGGCCTGATTTTAAAAAGAATCTTTTTTGGAAGAATCGGAGTAGCACTCCAGCGTATGTCTAATCTGAAAGCTATCCTCCCCTCTCCTTAACTCATTTGAGCATATGACTCAAGTTGGCTCTTGATGAAATGTCTTCTTGATCTTCTTAAAGAAATACTTCCACATAAAATCCCCTTATTGTTCTTCTAGAGTATGTTGTAATCTTACTTTTTATTACCACTTGATTATTACATGCATCAAATCTTTTGATGGTGTTACACTGGAAACACTAGAAGCCCTCCACAACTTTATCTAAAGGTAAGAAGCAATAACTATGTAAAGTTTCACATAAATTAAATTCCAAACAAAATCCCAACATTCTCAAAGAATTTTCCAAAGTGGTTTTCTTCACTTCCTCAACAATACGATGTTGATTTTTTTATAAGCCAGACAGGAACTATGCTCTACATGAATTTGGCCAGTCTGTAATGAATAAATTTTTTTATATTTTCTACAGCACTTCATTATCTAGGCAAAGAACCAGCACTTCTGTTTCATCCTGCAACTTCATTGCACAGAGCCATTTCCCCAAGTCTCATACGCCCCCACAGCAGTCCCTGAAAGCTCATCTCCTACCTTCTTGCAGCTGCTGCTGTTATCACTGAGTCACTGACAAATTGTATCATGGTAAATTGAGTTTTTATCATATTTCATTTAATTCTGGAGCAGTTTCTTTGGAAGGAAACATTTTTCACATCTTGCTAAAGCATGCCTTCTGCAGAGTAGAACTCCTATACTGAATCACAAACTGACTGCATCAGCAAGCACTGGACTTGCTCAGCACAGTATAAGCACATAGCATAATGTTACTTTAGCAAAATTTCATACTCCACATTATAATAATTGCCATTTTTATACAAAGCAAACCATTAGCCACATACAGATTAAAGCCATCTTAAGCCTTCCACAGGAAAAAAGATTTATTTTGGTATACAGGTGTTAGTATTTTTTCTAAACTGGACTATTGCTACAGTCTTGTATGTGCTGCACAACTTTCCTTCTGACTTTCTCTATTATCCCCAGGTGAAACACAAATGTGTCAGCTCTACGAGCCTCTTTTACTGCCTTTCTGAGGACAGAGAATAAGATATATTAGACCCATGGTATTAACACAAGAAGATGACAAAAAAGAAAATAAATTCTCTCTCATTATGGTCCACCAGGTCCATCCAGCCCATACACACTTCAGTCAGGGGCAAAACAGAAACATCAATTGTTCTGAACTCAAATTTGTTCTTTGGGGAAATGTGATGAAACTGCTGAATGCCTTTATTTTCTTTTGGTAATTACAAAATCTTAACCGTGAAGCAGACCCACACCCACCTTTCCAGTTCATTAAAATGGTTTTAGAGGGAAGAGTGTATCTGGAAAACAGCTACAGTTGAGTAGCTCTTAGCAAGGAAAAAATGTCATCCTGAGTCAAGCAGGAAGGTGGGGATATGCAGGCAAGGCACTCATCTGCTTGGATGGCAAGGTGAAAGACCACCTTCCTATGCCTTAGGTGAGGCTTAGAAAATGGCTGAGGGTTTATAGACTATGCATCACAGATGGGATTGTCTTAGAAACTAAAATCCTAGTTTGAAAAATTTGGGATTGCTCCAAACTAACTTCTAACACTGGAGGAGGGTGGGAAGAACCACATATATGAAAAAAGGAAACTGCTACACACAGTCAGGAGCCCTCCTGAACCTGGACAACCAGTGTTCAACCCACTCCCACCCCAAATATTCTAAGTAACTAATTCTGCTCATGACCAAATTTTTGTAGATAATTTTTTTCATACAGACAGATTACAGAAGCTTTTTCTCAGAACTAAAATTTCACTTCTGAGAAAAAGACAACTTTCATTGGGAAAAAAAACATGCAAGAAAACATCAGCAAGGTCACACAACTACAGGTGGCTATTGGATTTGATATAAAGTTAAGATCATGAGGCTTTGAGAGGAACCCAAGCTGACAAAATTATGATTTAAAAACAGAATCACAAAATGGTTGAGGTTGGTGTGACCTCTGGAGTTGCCCTACACCACGTGTTCAGGCAGGAACAGCACCACACCACCAGAGTGGTGTCCAGCTGGGTTTCAGTATCTCCACTGACCAAGACACTGCAACCTCTCCAGACCAACGCATTCCAAAAGTGAACAGTGAATTAGGGACAATTGTAGAAACAAAGATGGCATTATAGCATGAAGAAGACTAACAGAACTTTTTGTAATTAACAAAGAGAGAAAAGGTAGTATAGAAGTGATAGAGGGAGAGTACATACACACCATTAAGTTATTGTTTTGACAAAGTGACTTTTCTCTCCTCAGGGACATTTTATATATTTACATAATTAGGGAACAGTCTGTCTGGGACTTGAAGAAAACAGGTTTTCCTACAATGGGAAGGAAATCAGACATTTCTCTCGCTGGGATTGTGCCAAAATGAAATAACCTGACTATTTTTAAAGAAAGTGACATGACACAACATAAAATTGTATTGTGCACCTTTGCCGATGTCCCAACACAGAATCCCCACACAAGTCCATTCATTCCCATTATGTCAGCACTCTGAAAGCAGAACTCAGGTAGGGGCAGACGACTCTCTTTCTCTCTGATACTCTCTACGAGCTCCGAAATCACTGTCACTGTCTGCTAAGGAAAACTGTATTTGACACTACTGAGTTGCATGACAGGTCACTACAGAATTTATTCCCCACACATTCAGTATTTGCCAGTGGAAACACCTTTACTTCTCTTTGCCAAGTCTATTAATGTGAAGGGTTAGTGTCCTGACACAAGGCAATGATACTACATGGACTTTAAACATTAAATTAAATGTTACAGTACATTACACCAGCTGAAATGACATGTCCTGCTTCTGTCTTAAAAAGTGACATATTTTGTAAAGTGTGGCTCTGCTGAGAAGTTACTTTACAGAACTGGTATCAGGTTTCTACATGACATTGTGATGATTGACTTGCATCATATTTCTCAAGTTACAGATAATTTCTTTTCTCTCAACTTCCACCTTCATTTTAACTGACAATCACAAAATTTTTTCTTGAAAGCTGAGACTGAGGCAGAGATGTGTCAAGCCCTCACCTGCTGCCACCACCCCCCCCACAGCTCAGCTGCAGCTGGGCAAGTCCTTCCTGCAGTTCCACAGCTACAGCTCAGGATAATGTGGGGCTGAACAGGAGCATTTTAACAGCAATTTAGAAACATATTTGTAAAGACAACAGTCTAGTGAGGCTGTATTATTTATAATCAACCAAGTGCCCTAATAACCCTCACTGCACGATTCAGTAACAGCTTCTGCTCTGACTTGCAACTCCACAGAAGTTTATTCCTCATGTTTGGTCAATGAGGAAGCTGGAGGTAATTTGAGAAAGTTGTTTTCTAGGAATTTTTCAAACTCTGCTACCTAGTGCTCATTTCTGTTGGCAATGACCAAGCCAGAAAGAGCATCCATCTGAAACTTCCGTACATTCAGAGGCTTTGAATGTGCACATAGAATTATTTTATTAAAGGTTACTAACTAGAATATTTCTACCGATTAAGGTCATACACCACTTCACCCAGTGAGTGTATCAGTATGCCAATAGCAGGATTACAGATTCTGTTGTGATCACACAGATGAACTGGTCAGTATTTTCAGCAATAAAATGATAGCTCTGCCGGTTTCCTCTCTGCCATGACTCAGAAAGGGATCACAACCTGACAATGCAGTCCTCTTAAAAGGGACAGTTCAGCATTTGCCTGCCATTTTAAAATTGTAATTGGTTTTATTAATGATGTCTTCCTCAGCTCTCACTATGATCTCTGTAAATCAGTGCAATTCAGCTGAATTTAAAGGGTTAAATCAGCATCAAACCAATACAGCAATGAGCCAAAAAGCCCTTGCAATCACCACAGCTCCAAGTCAGCTGTAACAGCCTACCAGAAATGTGTTCCCATATTAACATTCTAAATAAATATTTGACCTTGTCAAGTCTCATAACTAAATGCAGTCTAGGCTATACTTTAATTGATGTATACAACCGATTTTCTACACAAGCTTTTGCTTTTTTTTTTTGTACAGAGAAGTCGAGATTGTAATTGATTAAACAATAATCTGAAAGCAGAACAAGGCTTGGCAGGACCAACAGAGTTTAGAGAAGCCAATGGGCTGTGGATGGATTTTTAAGCGTACTGAAAAGCATGAGTTGAATGTCAAATTAACACACCTTTAATGTAATTTCTGACCTGGAAAAATCAGAGAGAAAGAGAACACCAGTAAATTAGTACTTTCTTTGCTGCTGATGGCAGGGTTTTATACTTCTGTGGGGGTTAATAAGGTTGGTAATTTAATACATTTGGTTACTACACAGATGTAGAACAAAGACTGTTCTATTACCAAAAACACAGCAACTGGAGAAACATCAATAATATTGATAATAACACTATTAAACTCTTTCAATATCAGTGGTGAGACACCAGCACTGTGCAAGTCTAGTACAGTGGGTTCCTGTTCTTCCTTCTGCCTTCAGAGAGACACAGAAGGGTACCTGGCACACAACTAACCCACTGCTAATGATCAAAAATGTCCAGCCTCCTCCAGCCTGGAAAGTACACTTGGACCCACCCAGTGAGTGGGTATTTTATGGCCAAACTCAGGCAGCTTAGACCTAGTCAGTGTTTCAGTCTTCAAGACTTAATGACAAACTTAATGAGATTACTCTAACCTTTCAATTTAATCTTTTTTCTTCTTCAAACTCCCATGCATACATAAATTTTCTTGTCAAAATCACAGAGAGTACCTTCTCATTAAAAGTTGAGACAACACAGGGATCCATTCATTTGGAATGAAAGAGTAATGTTACATTTGCAGTAGAGCTTATTCAATAACTGAAATGGAAAAAGAAATCATGCATTCTGCTCATGGGAAGTGAGAGGAGCAATGATTTCTAAAATGTAGATTTTTGATTACTGAATTAATTGATGTAGGAAACTGTCACGTTTAAAGAATACAAAATTTTCTCTTAAAATACAATCCTCATTTTAAATTGTTATTTGCTGAATAATATTGAAAGCTGCTGCAATACACCTAATTAATGAGCCATATATATTTGAACATCTGTATTTTACTCTTCATTTATTTTCTTGCTCATCCACTTGGAGAAAAAACACTTGAAAATATTTAAATGAATATCCAGTCAGTAGCTAAACAGCAGTTGTCTGGTAAAGGGTCACCTATTATATGTATGGTTTTCAGCTGAATGACCTTCTAATAACACCAACTTTCTGTCTGCTCAGCTCATAAATACAATATAGTTCAGATTCCAAGGTATGTAAAATTCAATTCACCTGCCTCAGACTGGGATATGATTGATTTTGTTCAAATGCTACACCAGGAGATGCTCTGGATAAACTGATAAACTAAATATTGGTCATAGCTGGTTACTTCAAATGATACATTTGGTGAAACAACTTCCCGTTCATTGCCTTCATTGCTACTATATAGGAGATAACTGCAGACTCTTCTTGCCACTCCAGTCTTATCATTCTAGACCACAAATTCTTTAAGAAAGAAATGTAGTTTTTAATTATAATACACATAGTGGCTTTTGGGTTGTTTGTTGGGGAGTTTTCTTCTGTTTTCTCCACGGAGTTACTCTGCACCCTTTTTCAGAGTTACTGGGCACATATAACAGTTTGCTGTCTTGGTGGAGACAGATTCTGACACTGGCAACTTAAGTCACACTGCCAATCTCTGCAGCAGTCTCTTACTGACCTGCCTCACTGACATTTAAAATGCAGTAAAGAACGGAAAAATGCTTGGCAAATATATCCCAGAAGTATTAGAAATGTTTACAGATAATAAAATAAATTAGCCATTGTGGTAGTGTCAAAGAAGAGGAGAACAAAGTGGCTTTACTGATATGAAACAGAGCTTTAGTATTCACAGTGCCAAACCAAACATGTGTTAAGAAAGAAGAAATTTAACAAACAAATTGAGTCACATTTTACAAGCATATAATCCTGAACTCTATGTTTAACAGTGTTATGACAGTCTGACTATCATAAATGCAATGCAATACGTGAATGTACTTAAGGACCATTGAAATAAAGATCAAAACATGCTATTTACATTATATTTCCGTACTTAC